GGGGATTAAAGTTAAAGAACTTAAAGGCTTAACATCCTGCAGTGTGTGCGCTAAAACCTCCCGAAGATACTCTTGTATTGTTTTCAATCTCTACGACACCCTCAAATCCGTCTCAGCCCTCCACAACGACCAGAGATCACCAATACGTTGCCGTGTTGATGAACTGCCCATGGAAATGTCACAGAAGAGTCTTTTAAGTGGTGATGCAGAAATTGAAAAACTCAAATTTCTGCATCACCACTTAAAAGACTCAGCCTTCCAAGTCCTCCCACCTTCCTCCGGAGTCCAACACCCAACACGCCAGGCAGACAGGCAGGCAATCATCATCACCTTCCCATCCTCTTCCTCTTGAACGCTCCCCGTTATGCTATAACAAACGATCGTCCAAGAGGAAGAGGATGAGACGGCGCTGATGACTACCTGACTGCCAATGAAGTCTACACCTGTTCCTCATTCTTCTCTCATTAAGATGAATATATAAGCCAGTGGGTATCATCGAAAAGGTGTCCAAGTCTGGTATAGCCCTCTACCAGTATCAAAAAGGTCGTAAAATAAGAGTGAATACAACATATCCTCGGCAGTACGGGGAAGCATTCTTCTCTCAATTGGCGATGTAAGCGGGCATTGTGCGTATCATCCTGTTGGATACCTACAATGAGGGTTTACATCGCCAATTGCGAGAAGGATGTTGTTGACGGCTGGGGATCTACGTAAATGTTGCGCTGTAGTCTTCTCTCAATTGGCGATTAAGGACTTGCATTTCCATATTCAACAGGAATATGGAGATGAAAGTCCTTAATCGGCAATTACGAGAAGGATGTTGTTGCCGGTTGGGGATCCAGGCGAGGTATTGCGCTGTACTCTTCTCGTAATTAGCGATGCTTCAATTCTATTTCCTCATTCCTATTGAATAAAAAAATGGAATCGAAGCATCGCAATTACGAGAAGAATGTTTGTGCTGCTTGCGCATCAACGTCGATATTGCGCTGCGCTCTTCTCTTAATTAGCGATGCAAATGTAGCATTTCCTTACTCCTGTTGAATAAGGAGATGCTACATTTGCATCGCTAATTACGAGAAGGATGGTGTTGCTGCTTGCGCATCTAGGCGAGATATTGCAGCATTCCACATGGGGATGGGGAAGACTGCGCGGTGACGATAACCCGACTTCTCTCCAATGATCATTCCACAGCGCTGTTCGTGGAGCCGATGACAGATCCACTCATCCACTCCCACCCCTTCCCAGCCTCGCCCAGGGATCCTCAACAAAGCTCGGTAGAAAGTAAGCCGTATCCCCATTCTCCATTCTCACGCCGTGACGCAGCGCATTCAGTTCAGCCTTGGAGATTGCTGGACCGCCGAACGATATAATTTCTGCAGCGGGCGGGTCGCCAGACACCGCAGGGTTTGGAGCGCTGCTCTCGGTGGCAGCCGGTTTCTCGGGTAGATTCTGGCCGCGAGCGAGGAAGGCAGCCAGACCGGAGTCGGCGGGTTGGTTCTTCTTTGCTTTGCCCGGCGCGTTGTTGTGGGGTTGCGGCGAGGGGTTTGTGGAGTCGGATATAGTGTTTGATACAGTGTCGTCGAGGTTGATCTCGTCTTCGTTGGCAACTTTCTTCGATCTGACACCCAGTTTGGTGGAGTTGGCGCCGCTCGCATCAGGACCAGCTTTGGGTGAGGCGGTGTGGTCGTATTTGCGTTTCTTCGTCCCGCCGAAGGAAGCGAAGCCCATGGCCGCTGCGATCTCGTCGTTTTCGTCGTCGTCCATGGTGGAGGATTGGTCGTGACTGCTGAAGGATTCGTCGTGGCAGCCGGAGTGGAATTACACGTAGGACCACGGCGCCAGCGCCATAGGAATCGAGGTCATGAGCTTGCGCACGGATTTTTAACAGACGTCGGCACCTCGGGGCTTGGCAACTGTCTCCAACGCCAGCGACCCACACATCAGCACACTACTCCAACGCTACAACGGAGATCCACACTCCGAGCCATTCCGTCGCTACCATTCTATACGCGTGTGCTGGTGTATCGTGCAATGACACCCGGAAGAACTACCACACCTCGCTCAATCGCACAGCGACGATCTCCACTCCGATGGAGAAGGTAGCATCGTCGGGGTGTTCTTGCTCCGCATATGATGTCAACCGGCACTTGAGGACGTAGTATGCATAGTCGGACCGCGGCTTCGGGATAGGCGGATGGATATATAAGCTTTGATGTGAGCCTTTGGTTATGGCTTGTTTAAGCCATATTCTTATCTTTAGGTTGTCGAGATGAAAGTCGCGACTCAGGTGTTGTTCGCCTCGTTGGCTGCGGGCTCTGTGCTTCCGAGAGGGGGTGAGAGTCACAATGGGAGTGCGATTGCGGACGGCGACTTTGTCTATGTTGATGGATTGAGGCTGTACAATGGCGATGGATTGTACTATCTTACTGGTGAGGATATCCTTCTCTCCATTAGAAGTTGTAGGCTGACATATTCCAGGCATCAACTACTGGGCTTGCATGAATCTTGCCGCAGGTCCAGAAGCTGGCGGCAACTACTCGCGCTTAGTTACAGAGCTCGACCAGATGGCTGCAAAAGGCATAAACCACCTCCGTATCATGGCTGCCTCTGAGGGCGCTCCAACGACCCAGCCCTTCAGGATGAACCCAGCACTCATGGAGTCACCTGGCCAGTACAACGAGGACGTCTTTGAAGGTCTCGATATCTGTCTTGCTGAGATGTCGAAACGCGGCATGCGCGCCACCATGACGCTCAACAACGAGTGGCAGTGGAGTGGTGGATTTGCCCAGTACGTGTCATGGGCAAACAACAACACCGTGATCCCATATCCATCAAGCTGGAACCAGACTGCACCACCCCAGCGCGAAACACCTGGCACCGGATGGGGAAACTACACCGTCGAAGGCGTCAACGCAGCTCCATACGACGAGTTCACTTCCTTTGCCAACCTCATCTACAACAACACGCAGGCTGAGCAATGGTACAAAGACCACATCAAGACCGTCATGAGCCGTCGCAACACCATCACAGGCCGCCTCTACACCGAAGACCCAACAATCATGACCTGGCAACTCGCCAACGAACCCCAACCCTCCGACCAACTCGGCTACACAGGCCCCTACAACATCTTCCTCGAGCCAAACCCCGCCGACCTGCTCTTCCCCTGGGTCGACCGCATCTCCGCCTACATCCGCTCGCTCGCCCCCAAGCAGCTCATCAGCGTCGGGTTGGAAAGCAAACAAGGCGAATACTACTTCAAGCGCGTACACAACTTCTCCACCGTCGACTACGCCACAACCCACTGCTGGGTGCAGAACTGGGGCGTCTATGACATGTACAACGCCAGCGACGCGAATCTAGTCGCTGCCCAAGACTTTGCGCGCGACTTTATGAAGAACAGCAGTCAATGGGCCGTCGATATTGGGAAACCAGTTTTCCTCGAGGAATTCGGCATGGCGCGCGATAACTGGGTGAATGAAGACAAGGAATACCCTTACCTGAGCGATGCGAGTACGACGCACAAAGACGCTTATTTCACAACGATTATCGGAGCGGTTATGGATGAATTCAGGAATGGGGGTGCGTATATCGGGACGAGTCCGTGGGCGTATGGCGGGATCTGGAGACCGGAGACGCAGAAGGCGAATGAGTTTGGGATGGTTTGGGCGGGGGATCCGCCGCATGAGAGTCCCGGGTGGTATGATCTTTATGATGAGGATTATGCGATGGACATTGTGCATGCGCAGCAGAAGATGATAAGTTTGTGGATTGAGAGGCAGGGGAAGAATGAGACGGGGTATTAGTTGGGGTGAGAAGACGATTGCTCTTCCCGCTGGCCGTTTAGCATCGCACGGTTTTGTATACCTGCTCGATCTCTCTTCCACTGTGTATCAAGATAAGCACATCGAATATCAAATTTCATCATCCATCTTGAAATATTGAACATGTTCTCGAACTGCCCTATCATACACTCCACCCTCCTACAAAAACCTCGACGGACTACTCTTCTTCAACACCAACGGATGCCGATGCACACTCGGCATAAGTCCCAACCCAATCGCCCTCCGAATCGCCTTCGCAACCTTCCTCTGATTCTTCGGCCTAAGCCCCGTATCCTTGCTATGCTTAACCCTCCCCATCTCCGTCATATACTCGCTCATCATAGTAAAGTTCTTATACTCCAATATCGGATTTATGCCCAGCACATCAAACGCGTCTTGCTGCGGCTTCTTGCGCCCGTACTTCCACTTCTTTTGCTCGGTGCCGGAGAGGTCGTGGGGGGCGTACACGTCGCCGGGTTGCCATTTTCGGTAGATTTGCCGTTGGTATTGGGCGGCGCGGTCGGATTCGAGGACTTCGCGTGGCATGTTGGCGGAGAGGCCCATGGTTGAGGCCATGCCTGTGAGGGAGGGGCCGGTGCGCGGGCGTGTGGTGTTTGTGTTTGGGGGTGGGCGGGCGGCGGCGGTGCTGCTGGCGAGGATGTCGAGGATGCCGTCTTGGGGGCCTGGGGGTGGTTAGAGGGTGCGAGGTGTGGTGGAGGAAGGTCGTTGGAAGATGGGGTCGTGTGTATGGGAGAGGGATTGAGCGCACCTTGCTTATGGGACCCGGTGGAGAAGTAGCGCATGCATGACGTGCTTATGGACGGCAGCGGCCGCAGCGGTAACCGTGTTATTGACATGTTGGCGGTTGTGGTGGTGTTGGCGTCGTCGTCGTTGTCGTCGTGACTTTTCGAGATGCGGCCTCGGCGGTCGGAGGTTGACTTCTTAGCGCAATTGGATTTCACAGCAGGCAAGAGCTCCCGCAATTGCTCCCCTCACTCCCCGTCGCCGCCACTGGATCCCGCTTCCATCCCGTCTTTTTCGTGTATATACCATTTGCGCGCCTTCCTCCACCCCATGGACGCCTTCTTCGCCTAGATACCCTTCCCATCGTGCGCCAATTGCACGCCCAACCTACGTCACCACACTTTTGTCCTGCGCTTAGCGAACGTCGCCGCCGCCATGCCCTCGCACTTGACCCGCCTCGTCTTCCGCAACATCATCGCCAACGAGCCTCTGCTGTACCGAGGATGCCGCTACCGAGCCGTCCGACCCCGCGTCATCACCCAACATGGCGCCCGATTACTGCCCCAGACGCAACGGCGGACTTTCTTCGGGGAACTGTTCAAGCAAAAGCGGAAGCTCAAGCCTGCAGAGGCGCCGCCGGGTCTGAATACAATGGCTGAGGTGTCATATAAGCGGGCGAATGACCTCAGGCCGCCGGCACCGAAGGATGTTGTGGATGCGATCAAGGAATTCTTTGCGCAAAGAAAAGGGACGTTTGAGGACTGGCATGTGGGGACCGCGATTGAAGCTCTCAAATATCTGCTAGAGAACCCAAGAGAAGACGGGAAGCCATGGTTGAGCCGAAACGACCTGGATAATATCTTAGAAAAGGTACTGGACACGTCGAAGCGGCCGGAGATTCTAGGGAAAGCGCATATGGTCTTTGGGCGGCTCGTGGTTGGCGAGTTGGCAAAATCTGAGGAACAAGAGCCCGAGAAAGCTGGAGAGAAGAAGACGAAGGAACTGAAGGTCCCCTTTAAGATGTACATCGACTCGAGGCATATCCAGGTTCTATCCGCGTTCGGTGCGGCTACTCAGGCAAGGGACATCGCGATCAGTGCGTGCAAATACGACAAGACAGCGAATGCCTTGATACGTGGCGCCGTGGTCTCTAGCTGGAACACAGTGCTTGGAGGAATCATTCGGGAGAACAATCTGACCGAGGTCTCGAAAACGGTGGATGCTTTCACAGAAGCCTCGCTTCCATTGACCAGGCCTGCGCAAAACAAACTAGTGGCATTCTATGCTGAGCGTGGAGACCTGGAAAAAGCCAAATCTTGGTACTCGCAACCCGTGCACACCAAAGTCGGTCACCAGGTTACGCAGCCGTCAGGCGGCACGAGTTCTGCTCTGCTAAAGGCCTGCGCCGCAGCAGGCGATCTTACCTATGGTCAACAGGTGGTAGCTAGCATGCTCAAGGTTGAAATGCCCTCGAAACCTGAGTGGGATGCAATCTTTCTCTGGTCTGCTGCTATCGGCAAGGGTCCAGATGAAATCGCTCGGATGATCAACGTGCTGATTCGCAGAAATGACGAAGCACGACAAAAGGATCCTAAAGTCCCTGTAATCCGCCCAGACACCGAGACCATCAATGCGTTGGTAGAGCACTGTATGTCTAAGCAAGACCCTTACCTGGCGGAGCGCTATATTGTACTGGGAGAGAAGTTTGGCATTCACCCCGACGAGACGACCTATACGATGCAGATGCAATACCGCATCTCCGTCGGCGATCTCGATGGAGCCAGATCTGCCTACTTCAACCTGCAGGGTAGCTTTTCTGGGGACGAGCGCAGTGTCGCAGTCGTCAATGAGCTGATTCAAGCACTGTGCGTATCAAAACAGCATCACTTCGATGAGTTAATGGCCATGGTGGACGATCTGCACGAGCGCAAGGCCAGCTTTGCCCCAGAAACTGTCGCAGCGCTGACGCTGTTGCATCTTCGGAGGGGCGAGATCCACGACGCCATGGATCTTCTCCAAGTACACGCACATCAGTACTCGCCAGAACAGCGGACGATCATCCAGAAGGCGCTTTCCATGTTCATACTGGATGGCGAGACTAGCACCGCAGATGCCTGGGACGGCTACCAAATCCTGCGCAACGTATTTGTCGAAACGCCCCGAGAAGACCGCATACCAATCATGAACGGCTTCTTCGCCAGGAACCGTTCCGACATGGCCTGCCACGTCTTCTTCCACATGCGCAACCACGTCAGCCCGACTCACACCGCAACAAGAGACGTCTACGTCGCAGCCTTCACTGGCTTTGCCCGTTGCCAAGACGCCGAGTCCCTCGAACTAGCACACAACCAACTCAAACTGGACCTGAACGTAGAGATGGACACCAAACTCCGCAACTCACTCATGCTCGCATACGCCGCCACCGGAGAGAACCGCAAAGCCCTCTCCTTCTGGCGCGAGATCTGCGATTCCAAAGAAGGTCCCACATACAACAGTCTCGCCATCGCCTTCCGATCAAGCGAGGGCATGCACTTTGGCTCCGAACACGCAAAGTCCATCTGGAAGCGCTTGAAAGACCAGGACGTCGAGATTGACAAGAATATCTGGACGGCTTATATGTGTGCTGTCGCGCGGAATCATAATCACGATGAGGCGTTGGCGCTGGTGGAGTCTGTGGAGGAGGAGTATGGGTTTACTCCTGATTTGCAGATGTACGTTTGATTTCTTTCACATTTTGTACTGATAGACTTTACTAACGATCGATTAGTCTGGGTAGCTGGTTCAATTGCACAGCTAATATTGAGAGGCAAACTCGCGTCGAAGTTTGGATTAAGCAGCATTATCCCAAGGTTTGGGCTGAGATGGAGGCGCTGGGTCATTGGGTTACGATGGATGGGTTTGGGTATCGCCAGTATAACATTAATCGCGACCTCGATCCGTAGAGCTGCCCGGAAAGGAGGAGTATGGTAAGCACGCCAGGACTCGGACATCGACATTGTGGGTAGTAGGAGATCACGGTTAACCGCCGCATTCCGATTGCAAAGGGTCTTGGGCCATGTGCTTTGCGCCTTGTTCAAAATATTCACGTTCGGCCAAGCACACCTCGTTTTCATCTTCGTTCGTCAGGGTCTCGCTTCTCTCACTTTCCACCCGCTGGCGCTCCGTTTGTCCACACGCCCGCCAGGCCTCGGCGTTGAACGAGCGCTTTTCCACCGCTTTCCCTACTATAGACGGAATCGCCCACCCGTCACCTCCTGCTGTCTCACTCCCACCCACCCCTCACTTACTGGGTCTCCGTTTGTCGCCCGCCTGACCTTCGAGCGCCTCCCCACCGCTCTCTTACTGGGGACAAAATCCTCTACTTGTCACCTCCTGTCTTCTCTCTCCCACCCACCTACTACCCTTCTCAATTCTACTCGCCCTCTCTTTCTGGCTGCAAAAGCCGCCCCACCATTTTCGCATAAGCTCTACAATCGCTACTACATCTATCCACTCCGCTAGCGACAACATCAGTGCGCTGAGAGCGAGCGATTGGGCAAAGGTGAGTAACCTCATTATCTGCAGAGAACAAATGAGATTTCTAACATTCAACGTGGCAGTCATCATGCGCGCTCACTATCTCGTCGCTGGCTTGCTCGGCCTCGCCGGCCTTGCCTTCGCCGTTCCTACTCCCGAGTCCACTGCCGTCTCCCTAATCCCGACCTCCCAACCCGCCGACGTCACCGACCTCGAGTATGTTGCCCCCGAATGTAACATGGGCCAACAGCCAGACATGTGGCTCGCGGCTATCTGCGGCAACCACACCAACACGAGCACCATGCCTAAGACCTGGCTCGGCGTCTGCGCACTACTTACCGCCGGCGTCGCGCATGAAGTCACAACCACGGTTCAAGACCCTGGTCTCATGTGCAGATTCTACGACGACAGCGACTACTGCAACAGCGACTTCGTCGTCGCTACCCTTACCCACCATTTCCGGATCCCGTCGGCGATTGGCAAGCAGATCAAGTATGTTAGGTGTGATAAGGCGCCGCCACATGGGGACTCTGGTGAGATTGAGGGTAGGGCTGACGATGCTCTTCTGGCCGATACTCCTTTTGTTCTGGGAGCGGAAGACATCAAGCACGCCGAAGATGATAGCGCTCTTCCCATCCACGACGCCCACGACGCCGACCGCACCCAACCCGAAGACACTTCAGCTTGGTCCCCATCCCCCTGTATGAACCCCGGATCGGACTCCTACTTCTTGATCGTGTGCGGCGGTGGTAACGCCAACTGGATCCCCAACAATTGGATGAACGCGTGTGTGCGGCTGTCCGATACCGTTGGGCACCACGTCGGTACTGTTATTCAGAACGCGCACATCATGTGCAAGTATTACGACGACAGTAACGAGTGCAATAGCGACTTTAAAGCGTACTCCGACAATTATTCAGAGGACATCGAGATCTTTTCGTATCCACCCCAGGTCGGAAACCAGCTCAAGTATGTCAAGTGCAAGCAGGGTGAGTGGCGCAGGGGTATTGCATCTTCCTCCGCCTGTATGAACCCCGATGCGAGCCACTACTTCCTGTCCATCTGCGGCAATGGCAACGCCAACAACATCCCCAACAACTGGATGAACGCATGTGTGTCGCTGACCGATACTGTTGGGTACCACGTCGAAACTCTTACTCAGAATGCGCGCATCACGTGCAGGTACTACGACGACAGCAACGAGTGCAATGGCAACATCGAAGGGTCCTCCACTACTTACGAGAAAGAGGAGAGCTTTACGATTCCACCCGATGCTGGAAACCGGATCAAGTATGTCATGTGCAAGATTGGTCAGTGGCGCAGGGACGTTGGTGAGATTGAAGCTCGAGAGATCGATGCTGCTTCCGGGTCACCGGAGAAGATTATCGACGCCAAATTCGCAAAAAAAGCCTGGGCCTGCCAGAATCCTCTCCCAGGCATAGCCTACCAGGTACTGCTAGTCTGCTCTCAGGCCTACGCCCAACAGGTTCCGGAAATTCACCAAAAAAGCTGTATGAGGCTGGCAGACCCAGTTGCGCTTCACGTCGACAGTTTCCTCCAAGACGCAAATATGACCTGCGATTTCTACGACAGTAGCAACGGATGTTCCGGCAAGCAGATTTTCCACTCCACTACACGGGAAGAGCAGTATCGTTTCGATATTGATTCGAAGTGGGGAACTTGGATTAAGCATGTGAAGTGTCGATGGGACGATACGTGGTACCAGACTGGTGGGATTGAAGCTCGAGATGTCGATGGTACTTCCTCTCCAGACATTCTGGTCGCTCCAAAAGTCGTGGTCGCTCCAGACACCGACGTCTCGCCAGACACTGATGTCTCACCAGACTGGGCCTGCATGAACCCGTCCCCGGATAACCAATACTTGGTTGTCTGCAGCCATGGCGTAGGCCAACTCATGACCAACAAGCTCTTGGGTAACTGTCTGAAGCTAAACAGCGATATCGCGTATAACGTCGATTCTTTCATTCAAGATCCAGGTCTGAGGTGTAGGTTCTACAACGACCGCCACTCAGACTGCAAAGGCGAACCCATTTACACCGCTCAAACTCTGGACAAGCAACACCTATTCAAGATCGATGCGAAGTACGGGACTAGGTTCAAGTACGTTTGGTGTTACAAGGGCGACCACCAGCTGAGCGATGTTCCTGCGCTCGAAGCTCGAGTAGCGGATACGTCTCTCGAGGCGCCATCTTTCGCGGTCGAGGAACCGTCCGGGCTCATCGCGCGACTCATCAGCGATACCGGCTACGCCTTTGAGTATCAAAAGAACTTCGCTGGGCTCTGCATCAAACTCCCGGACACGGTATCTCGTCATTTGACGCACGCAGCCTTGGTCGATCATACCGTCTGCAGGTTCTACGAGAGCGGCTGCTTTACTCTTATTAAGCCTCTCTTCACTGCAAAGAGCGAGGCCCCCTACACCAAAGTTCCTGTGCCATCGGATGTCAGCAAGAAAATCACCCACGCTGTCTGCGGGCCTTCGTCTGCCCCACACAATGAGATCGATGCGCGAGCGGATGCTATATCTCTTGAAGCTAGCCCGACAGCCACCTCTGCAACAACGATGGCCAAGGAGTTCCTAGCAAGGATCTACAGCAGCACAAGCAACATGGCTGTTCTCAGCGACAAGAATAGAGCCTGCGTTCGGTTCAACGACGATATGTCCCACGATGTTACCAAGGTAGAAATGGGAGCCAACACTCTCTGCGTGTTCTACGACAACGCTTGCAGTCGAGCTGGATACCCCGTCTTCACCTTTTCGACCACGGAGGGGTACTTCAGTCGAAACGTGCCAGCAGATGCTTCCAAGCAGATTACCCACGTCATTTGCGGGAAGAAAGACACTCACGCTGCGATCGAGACACGAGCGGATGCTACAACGGCAGCTCCGGCCCTCCTTGCGAGAATCTTCAGCAGCACAAGCTACACGGATCTCCACACGCAAGGCGACGACCGAGTCTGCGCTGGGTTAGGAGAATATATTTCCCATGATGTTACCAAGGTAGAAATGGGAGCTCACACTCTCTGCGTTTTCTACGACAACGATTGCACCCTAGCCAAATACCCCGTCTTCACCATTTCGACCGACAAGGAGCAGTCTACCACTCGAGACATGCCAGCGGATGCTAGATGGAAGATCACCAACGTCCTTTGCGGGAAGAAAGACGGTTATGCCAACGTCGAAGCGCGAGCGGATGCTACAACGGCATATTCGGGAACCCTTGCGAGAATCTTCAGCAGCACGAGTCGTCATGCTATCCTCAGGGAAAACGGCCGAGCCTGCGTTATGTTAAGAGATCGTGTTGCCAACAGTGTTACGAGTGCGACTCTTGGAGCTCACACTCTCTGCGTATTCTACGACAACGAATGCACAGCCAAATACCCCGTCTTCACTATTTCGAGCGATAAGGAGCAGTTCACCACTCGAGACGTGCCAGCGGACCTTGGCAAGAGGATTACCCACGTCCTTTGCGGGAAGAAAGACGGTTGGGCCAACGTCGAAGCGCGAGCGGATGATACATCTCTCCAAACCACAGCCCAGAAGACGAAGATGGCCCGAGTCTTCGGCGATACAGCCGACCTGTACATCTACGACGACAACGACGCGGCTTGCGTTGCGCTCAGCAAGCATGTGGCTAATGACGTTGTCGGAGTACAGCTAGAAGCCGGCATTCTCTGCGTATTTTACACCAATGCCTGTAATATCGCCAAGTTCCCGATTTTCCGCGCTTCTAATGTTGGGCCCGGTACCTTGCATGTGGATATCCCGGGGTATACTGGCCGCGACATCTCACACGTCGCTTGCGGGAAGAAGCATACTCTTGATGCTGAAATCAATGCGTGGGCGGCTAGTACACCGATTGTCGATGCCCGAGCGGAAACTACACTCACTGTCGATGCGCAGGCGGTTACTACACCCATTGTTGACAGCACGGTACTGACGACTTTACACTTGGACGGCCCGGAAATTGCCAGAGTATTCAGCAAGACTGCCATGTTTGGCATTAACGACGAGGACGCCAATACCTGCATCCCACTTGGCGACTCCATTGCGAATGATCTTTTCGCTGTGGCTGTACACGAAAACGTCCTCTGCAGGTTGTGGAAGGACAGCTGCGATGTAGCCAAGGGTCCTCTGTACCAGCTTCACTCGAACAAGGGGGATGTTGCTTCTAAAGTGCCTTCCGACATTGGCAAGCAGCTTACTCATTTCATGTGTATGCGTACCAAGCCTCAAGCTACAATTATCACGCGAGGCGCACTAGACACTTCGATGGCCGACCCTGGAGCCATGGCCTTTCTGTTCAGCAGCGCTTCCCAGCTTGGTATCTACGATGAGGATGCTAAGAAGTGCATCCCGCTTGGCGATTCTATTGCGCATGATCTCATCGCTGTGGCTGTACCCCGAAATGTTTCCTGCTCGTTCTACAAGGACAGCTGCGATGTATCCAAGGGTCCTACTTTCCTTGTTGCGTCGGGCCAGGGGCGTGGGGATGTTCATTACGTGCCCGCGGAGATTGGTGAGAGGCTTACTCATGTCGTTTGTATGCGTACTCAGCCTTCCGCTGACATCATTGCGCGAGAAGAAGGTCGGTCTACCGAGGCCCCGACATATCCGAAGAAGTCTTCTCGAGCCACCGACATCACGATCACTCAGCATCTTCATCCAGAGAGCGGATATAGCCCCGTACCCCTTCTAGTCGGCGATCTCTTCGTCTGCTCTTGGGAGCACGCCAATGGCTGCTGGATCATGCATACACTCAACAAGTGCTTGGACCTTCCACCACAGATTGCCTACAACACTATGTACATCGAACAGTCCAAGGGGTCGTTCTGTAAATACTACAGGAAGGCTGGATGCATGGACGGCGACGAGTTCTGGCGCCATACCTCGGGGCCGGAGGATGTGGCTCAAATTTCCGGAGATGGAATCAAGAATCTCGCTAGCGCATGGTGCGGAGGTACCGGTGTGACATCTGAGATGGAAGTCGTTTCTCATGACCATCCTATTGAAATGGTCACCAACGTTGACTCTTCCATCTACGCCAACGATATCACCAAGCGCGATTCTACCTCCACGGAATGGACACCCGCATGGACACTACCTAGAGCCATCCGAGTAGGCGAAGTATTCGCCTGCTCCGAAGACCAGGCCTCCGGCTGCTGGTATATCAACGCCCCGAACCAATGCACCAATTTCCCGACCCAGGTCGCCCACAAGTCCAAATTCATCATCCAAGGTAAGGGTACATGGTGCATGTATTACCTTGAGCCCGGCTGCTGGGACGGCGACGAAGCTTGGCAGCACACATCGCCTCCCACAGACCACACTACCTTTGGCGTGAAGACCAACGTGGTCGCGAGTGTGGAGTGCCGAGCTGCTGGCGCGACTGCAAACGAGATCACCAAGCGCGACTGGCCCCCAGGCTCAACAACAGTCTGCCACCAAGCGCACTACCAGTTCTGTACCGACAACGCCATCAACGCTATTCAGCAATGCGCCAACTTTGCTCCTGCGGATCAGGGCCCACTCTCGATTATCCAGTATGGCGGCGCGTACTGTAAGTGGTACCGCGACTTTGGCTGTGGAGGCGGAGAGGACAAGTCGCCCATGAGCATTGATTCTAGGGGTGGAGAGCAGTGGGTTGATGATTTGAGCGTGGAGAACAGGTTCAAGAGCGTCAAGTGTGAGACGTATCAGTGGTAGGCTTGGGGCTTACTGCGCGTCTTCTTGCGGATGTGATTCGGAGGCGAAAGTAGCTTCTTTGGATATCAGGTAGTTGGATAAATAGAGGAATGAAATGTCGTTCCCTCCATCTTGTCATTCTGCATGTCTTCGTATTGACTTAGGCTGCAAACTCATTCACTTTTTCCCTACGTTGACGTGACTTGGAGGATTCTGGCCCGGTAAGCGTGTCAGTAAGGCGCACTTGACATGTGCGCTTTCCCTTCTTCGGTTAGCACGAACACGATCTAGCGCGTCCCAGGGAACCAACCCTCCTACCCCGCGAACTCTCTCTCCATGTTTCACGACGTGTGAGTAGACATCGAAATGGATAGCCCAGCTGATCTAGATGCCTTCTTCGCCTTTCAGAACAGTCAGTTCGCCACAGACCACGCATTAGACGATGGCAGCTTCGCCGGCCTGTCCGAAGCACTGGCAACCTCGAATGCGGCGTCTTCTCAATACAATGAGACCTGGATGATGGATCGGTCGCTTTTGGATCTATCGAACCATTCCACCGCCTCTTCGTCGCCTTTCACGCCAAGCGCATCGATATCCCGACCTAAGCTTGGCAGCCGCTTCTCGCGAGAAGTCATCCGTACGCTCAAAGACTGGCTTACTGTTCATCAAAAGCATCCTTATCCCAGTGAGGGCGAAATGATGGCACTTCAAGACCGAACGGGATTGAACAAAGCGCAGCTTACAAATTGGTTCGCAAATGCCCGTCGACGCGGCAAGGTGCAAAGTGTTCGTCCTACTTCGCCGCAAGTCAAGAACTCGCCCACTTCTCCAGTGGATATCATTCCGAGGCCTGGAACACCTGCTGTTAGGATGGCGTCGAATCATAAAGACCCTATGCAGCGTTGGGTGGAATCGCCGCCGGAACATGAACCTGCTGCGGTTGACGACATTGCACGTGCGATGGCTTCTACCTCACGTGAGTTGCCCAGTCGTGTAATGAAGTGAAATCGTCTTGCTGACCGTGTCTAGATGAAGATGCTGGAGACTTTGCGTACCATCAGCCATGGGAATCACCTTATGCCATGTCTTCGGCAAGCAGTGCAAGAACCTCCCAATCAAGCGAATTCTCAGGCCATTGCTCATCAGGGTCGCAAACATCTCTCAAAGTACGTCGCGCGCCGCGGAAGAAGCGGGCCACTCGACGCCGGCGTCTTGACACGGAGAGAACCGCACCCATTGGTATGCCGTACCAATGCACATTCTGTACTGAGGTCTTCAAGACTAAGTATGATTGGCAACGTCATGAGAAGTCACTTCATCTACCTCTGGAGAGATGGATCTGCGCACTCCAAGGCTCTCGCACTACCAAGGAGTCGATCGGAGACCAATGCTGCGTCTTCTGCGGCGAAGTGCGACCAGATGACAAGCATATTGAAGCCCATCATTACTCGGCGTGCCAGGAAAGGAGCTTACAGGAACGCACTTTCCACCGGAAAGATCATCTGGTTCAGCATCTGCGGTTGGTGCATGGAGTTGAATTCTCTGAGTGGTCGATGGCGCGCTGGATGCTACCTATACCTGATGTTAGGTCAAGATGCGGGTTTTGCGGTACTACCATGAGTACGTGGCTTGAGAGGACTGATCATCTTGCCGACCACTTCAAGTCTGGTGTTACGATGGCTAGTTGGCAAGGTGACTGGGGGTTTGATGCGTCCGTTATACCGTTGGTCGAGACTGCTATCCCTCCTGGTATGATCATCATGACTTTCTGATTGAAGGTATATGCATACTGATGACAGCCAGATCTCATCGACTGGGAACGAGGCACTCTCATTCCCATGAAAGGTAGCGACCCATCCTGGGGTACTCCACCAAACGCATACGAACTGCTTAAAGTCGAGATTGAGTTCTTCATCCAGCGATACTTCGACAAACATGGGTACTTGCCAGACAATGACGCGATGCAGCTAGAAGCATGTCGCATCATTTTCGCAGCCGAGACCACTTCCGTCATGCACGGACCAGACACAAACCATCTCCACGAGGTTTCGTGGCTACGAGACCTGATGATGTCATCACATGAGCTGACTGAACACGCAAGATTCCAGCCCGTTAGATCTTCCCGCGAGAGCAGACATTTTCCGCTACGGATCAATGCCAAGGATCATCTCTTCGAACAATGCCCTTTAGAGGCGCAGCTTCGTGGGTTTGTAACTCAGCGCATAACGGCTGGCGAGACGCTTGACGATGCGCAACTGCATCACGAGGCATGTCAGATTGTTCGGCGCATGGAGCAAGAATCTAGTACTCCATCCGACGTTTTCGCAAATTGGATCGTCAAAGGCATCTACTCGGGCACGAACTGGATATCGCTCTTTAAACAACGCGCAGGTATCTCTGATGTTGTATCCACCGACATTCCGGCAGATCATGGCTTGGGCGAATTACTAGACCTCTCGTGGCCAGCCTCGCCTCCCAAAGAAGCATCCACTTCCGCTCTCGGGACCGCAAGTCCGTCCAAGCAAACCCACGACTACTTCACTACGCTTCCCACTTTCTCTGAAGAGCCCATACTCTCGCCTGAATCTACCGCGCAGACCGACATGTACGGTCGTCTGCGATCGCTGCTACCCGACGACACCAACTTCTACAGGATATTTGACAGCGACATGCGGAGATGGGCCGCGTCAACGCTCTCACCGAAGAACCCGAATTGTCACGTCCCTTCCGATGAAGAGATACAGCATCAAGCGCGATGGATAATGTATGATGGCGACGACCCGTGGAACCAGACACCTGCGGACTTTCCGAACTGGTTGTCACGGTTCAAGAGGGAGGTTGGGATTGTGGCGAATGACGAGGGAGTGAATCCTGGTGATTTGGTGATGTGAAAGCAGTGAACGGACGCTGACATCAATGATTTGTTGCCGCCTAGAAGTACGTCGACCTTTCCAGAGCTCGTGCGCATAAAAGAAGGCTTGGATGCTTGCTACTGAGCACTCCCAGAGATTCATAATCCCTTACACTCACCAAGGCAAAGCATAATCTCTCTCAACCCTCCGCATCACCGCGTGGCAATCATGAGCTCTCTACTACTGCGTGTATTTCGGCCCGTGCTGACCTCATTCTTTGAGTATTCCGGCTATCCTTTTGTCATCAGCTCTCCAAACCAACATACACCCTTCCAGTCGATTTTTGGAGTGTCATCAGCAACCCAGACCGAACCTGCTTCATCAGGCCAACCTAAGAACTCCCACGATGAGTCGCCAGGCCCGTTCCGCCTATTTGCACTGCCAGGGGAGCTCCGCAACATTGTCTATGCTCACGTTCTCGAAACGGATGAGGCTATCCTCATGGCACCATATTTCAAGGATGGAGCTTTACACCAGCGTCTGATCCTGGATGACCCGGCGACAAAGTTGCGGACGGATCTGAACCAAATGAAATTCGTCTGTAAACAACTCTACGAGGAGACATCAGCTCTACCACCGACCCGCTGTCCGGAACTGATATTCCCTCTCCGCAAAGACACCCCCGAATCCGCTTCTAGCATATGTGCAGGATACATGGCTAGCTCCAGACCCGAGCAGCTCAACAAGATTCACCGCATCCACGTCCACGAGCGCGTTGCATACAGACAGGGTCCGTTCTCAACGGACATCTTCGACCCTTGCATGGACCAGCTTGTCACATTCGCCACCCAACACCCCAACACCTCGATCCAAGCATTCCTCCATGCTATCGACCCAAAGCTATCCAACGACACATCCAAATTCCCCATCACAGGCTTCTCCTACGAAATCGCTCGCAAACAGGTAGAGTTTGGATACTACAGCACTTGGTACGACATCGATAGGGTTCTGGATGAAATGGCTGAGATATGGTCGGACCATGCGTTTGAGCCACAGCCTTTTCCCAAGAATTTCGTGTTTAGGCTGGGATGCGGGGTGAGGTGGTCGAATTGGCAACAGTGGGTTGGGCATGAGTTCCCAAGGCCTGCACTTACGCATACGGGGCCTAATTATACGGGGAGGTATGACATTTGGTTTTGTGGTCATACGTGAGGCGGGTGATGGAGGTAGTGGGGTGGAGTTTGAGAGAGAAGTGTAATGAGATGGATCTATCGGTTGTTACACATTCGCGCGGTCAACTGCTGTTCAATCGTACCCTCAACTATGGTATTACATTCATCACGACGAGGATCACACGACTGTTAATAATAGGGGCATGTGCTTCAAGAGCATTCTGAGATGTTGTATGTTGCAGATATAGAGCATCAATATCGCAATATGGCCGACTTTAAACTCTCTGGTATCTGCGCATCCTCTTCTAATCATCTTCATTCGAAATCCTGATTTTGCATAGTTCCATCGTCAACACCGCTTTCCTTTTTAACATCAACCCCAACCCCTTTCTCCTCCTCTGCGCTTCGTTGAGACTGCCGCTCGCCAATCATACTCAGCAATTTGATCCACTGTTCAACATCCGGATAAGCCTTCCAGTCGCCTTCATGGCATGTGTAAACTCCCCCTGGCCGACACCAATCTTCCTCTTCGGGAACGAATTCAAGGGGTTGGATGTCCAGCGAAGTAAGCAGCCAGTCCATGAAATCCGAATGCGCCGTTTCCACATTATTGACCAGTACGGAAGCTCGAGCAAGGTATCGCGGCCTCAGAGTCAGCAACGCGAGCATGACCGGCAAAGCGAGGTCTCCAAAAAACTTACCTATGCGCCTGATACGTTCAGTCTGATAGTCGTAGTATCCAACCAACTCCTCCCCAAACATCTTGTCTCTCAATCCGTCGCCGAAGTCGGGAGACCTCCCCTTCCCCCAACCCGTGAGTTCAGGAAAGACAGTAGGGCAAAGCCCACCATCCATCAGGTTCTTAAAATGCACCGCCGTATGGCCCGGCCCCCGGATACATCCATGCGCCAAATATTCATGCTCGCCATGATACTCACCCGGATCCAAAAGATGCGGCACCCACCAGATCCTCACCTCGCCATCCAGCTTCTCGCGATCAATCACAGCAACGTGAACATCTCTATACTCCAGAGAACAAGTATACGCATAGCAAAGCACCGTGTGAAGAGAAGCAGCCCACGAGCTGAACTCAGTAAGCACGTCTTCGTCGGCGGCGAAGTGGGCTTGCACCATGGCATGCAGTTCTTTCTCCGGTTTTTCGTAGAACCCAGTGACGGGCCTGCCGTTCATGTAGCCTCGGGGTATGATCTCGGTTGCGTTGATGATGGAGAATTCGCGGCCGCCGCCGCTGGATTCGTCGAAGGCGCGGAATAGGTAGCGTGGAACGCGGTTTCGCATGGCTAGGTTTACGGGTCGAGTTAGTTGTACGGGGGCTGTAGCTGCTGGATCGCTATCTTACCTTCGAAATGATCCTTTCGCTGGCCGGCGGTCTCTTCGCCATCAGGACTCTCCGCGTGTAGAGGCATCGAATAGGTGTCGATCTGTGTGCTCATTCATATGGTTCCATGACTATATATATGATGTACGCAACAAACAACTAGCAGTCATGCGATGTTCTCAGCAGCCTCATCTCACACACTCAACATCTGCGAGATCCAAACCGCCTCTCACAAAGCAATCTTCGTAAACGATAAATGTACTCATTCATATTTCATTTCATCAAGATAGCAAATATACACACGAATCTCCCGATTCATCCCAGCCCAACCCAACCCATCCATTCGCCCTGGATTAAAAACGCCATGAAAAAAGCTTACTCATACGAAGAAGCTCAGTTGTCATCCCATCATACTGCATTCCAGCATGCATCCAAACAATGGGGTATTAACCAAAAAGCACCACCACCATCGTCATCATCTTCCATGCCTTCTTCACCACCCCACCACTCATTACATCAATATCCAGACCGACCCACCGACGAACAAAGCGAAGATGAGGATAGTGAGGATCGCCGCGCCCGCTTTATCCCCAGTGGTAATTTCGGATTGGAACTTGGGTAATCGATCGGCATCGTTTCCAGAGCCTAACCCGGGGTTACCCTCGGAAGTGCCACCGGTATCGCGTGAGTATGGCGGCGGCACCCGCTGCGCGTTCAACACACTGATGACATTGAGCGCCGTCATCTGCGGTCCCACACCCTTGATGTTGTCCCAGCCCTGCTTCCACCAACTCATACCACACTGATGGTTGCCGCCGCCGTGGTCAGACGGACCCTCGCACGTTTGCGCAGCGGCAACGGCGGACTTCTGCAACTTGGGCATGATTTGCGGCGTGAACTCGGGGGCCATTTGCATGGTGATGCCGAGCCAGCGGGCGAGGTACGCCTTAAAGGATTCCTGGTCCGCGTCGCAGACGATGTTTGCTTCGCAAATTTCGACCATGACGCCGCCTTTGTCTTCGGGGAAGAAGATGGCGACTTTGTTGATGAATTTGGTGAGTTCGTTGCGCCACTTGTCGGCGCCGTTGGTGTAGTTGTACATCTATGAACATGGTTAGTAATCGAATATGTGGTGTGGTGACATTCGTCTCACGTATGCTGCTCCTGCAATCATGATTCCGTAGTTGTAGGTCCAGGGCGTTTGATCAGCGTCGCTGCAGGGAGGGTTCGTGCTGATGCTGGTTCCGTCGTAGACTTGACCGTCGCCGGGCAGAATAGGACTGTTCGCCATCCAGTCGAATGCCTTCTCCGCCCACTTGGCATATGTGTCGTTCTTTGTGTACATGGCCAATCGCGCGCCGAGATGGAAAAGTCCTCCGTTGGATGCGGTGTTTTTATACGTCCACCCATTAAGCCACGGATAGATCTGCCAGCGCATGCCTCCGCCGCAAGTGCCATCGGACACTTCCTTCTGGTAGCGGCCGACGAATTGGTTGAAGACGGACTGCGTCATGGCGAGCCAACCGGGCTGGTCTGAGGGAGGATCTTTGAGTTTGTATTCGGCGGCGGCGATCATGGAGAAGGCCCAGAAAACTTGATCATCGTTTCCTTCGTTCTTGGACTGGTTGGAGGGCATCTACAAAGCTTAGCGACAGACCTTGCGATAGCGCATAGAGATACTTACCAGGTCTTGATGCTCACCAAATTGGTGTATCAGTCCCTCGCGGACCATCTCATTGTACTGATCGTCGCCGGTGTAGTGCCAGTAGTCGAGGAGGGTACCGAACATGGCGCCCGCCTGCCACCAATAGTAGGGTTCGTAGAGGATACCCGGGTAACCGCCGAGCACATGGATGCCCTTATCGTCGATAGTCGCATATTGCGCAACGAGCTGTTTGGCGACCTGGGAGGAGACATCGTTGATAGAGGCTGTAGGTGAGGTTAGCAGACTGTATAAGCGCACAGCATGTATGCGACGGCGACGGGTATCCTACTCTCTGAATTGGGGTCGAGCACGATGGCCTGGGTGAAGGGTCGCACAACATCTGTCGACAGCAGAGAGAGCGCCGCTAGCGCTCGCGCAGGGCTGAACAACCTCATCTCGACATGTGCTTTGCGCCTAAAACAATGCTAACGAATGGCTACCCCGCAAGTGCGTGAGACCAAGTGGGGAGGAAGCGAGATCAAGCAAGATCAAGCAAACACAAGATGTAGTGAGGTTGACCGGGGGGTAAGAGGTAGGTATCGAAGGTTATGGCGGCGGAGGAACGGCGATGAAAAGCGAATGTGAGTGGTAGTGGTAAACAGGCCCCCAGCGTTTGATGACGGACGTGACAAAGAGAGGCGGGAGCGATCGTCGTGTAGCGGAATGGCGGCAGCAACTTTAACACGGGCCTGATGGCTCCATACGCTACCCTGGCAATTCCAAGGTCGCATTCGCCGCTCGTTAGCAAATCACTGGCAAGCGGGTCCTCAGGAACGCCAGCTGCATGGAGGCTTGTCAACAGGTCTTCACAACGCAAGTCCTGGTACAGACTGCTTAGGCTCGTTGCACACAACAACGCAGATAGTGATAACTTCCACCACCGCCCCTCCTCCTCCCCTCCGCCTCCCCCACCCACCCTCGCGATCGTCGAGGCAATAGCGGAATGGCGGCACTGGAAAGGTAACTTTGATGGATTAACACGGGCCTGTGCCCCCATAGGCTACCCTGGCAATCCCATGGTCGTATTCGCCGCCTGCATCTAATCATCATGCAGCTGGCGTTCCCTCTAAGCCGAGGAAAGGCAGGTCAAGTTGTAATTCACAGCGCAAGCGCCGGTGCGAACGGCGCCACACCACCACGAACACCACAAGCGGTATCCAAACAGTGAATGCAGTCCATTGTTGGTGCTATGTGCGTGTATCTTGCGCAACGCAGCAGCAGGGCCCGGTATCCGCGTTGAAACTTCAGGACCTCTGGAACGGATTCCGCATGCCTGCGCCCCACCTGCAGGGAATGTTTGTGGCGCAGGCGCCTGACTTTGCGCTGTTTGGCCTGACTTCACCGTTTGTTTTGTTCCGTTTCGTTTCTCACGTGGGTGAACTCCCGATCTCCTGGCGCATCTATGGCTGAGTGAACCTGATCTTAAAACTACGTCAACGTCGGTCTCACACAAGCGTTTTCCAAGCAAGCTTACAGGCGTGCTTGAGGGCCGAACCCGCCTGCCCAGCTGTCTTGACGGCTCTCTGCCAAGACCTTTGCCAAGCCACATCCCGTGCAAATGTGTGGGGATTCCGGAAATTGGCGGTCATGGACCCTATTCTTAGTACACAGGAAGTTAGGCCAGGCCCTAAGGCAAGCAAGGCAAGCAAGCAGGCAAGAAAAAATGGAACACCAAAGATTCTTGGTCAAGGTCGCGAATATCATGCTTTTAAGCAGCAACCAGGAGACGCGCGTATCGCACGCGTTCTCTTACGAAGCCTTTTTGTCGTTTACATCCTAAACACACCCCAAGTGCTCTCCTTCTCCACGCCCTTGTTCTGCCCTCCACACGCCATCTGCAGGCCCATGCCAAGCACCCTCCGTGTATGTTCCGGCGGTATGATTCCATCGTCCCATAGCCTTGCCGACCCGAAGGTGGCCTCACTCTCGTGCTCGATCCGTGCCTTTAGCGCGGGATCCACTTTCTTGCCCACGGCTTCCATGACGGACGAGAGCTGTTCTGCGCCCATGACCGACGTCTTTGCGTTGGGCCAGGTGAACATAAGTCGTGGAGAGTACGCGCGGCCGCTGTGCTTGTGTTAGCAATGCTGTGTTGAGGAGTGGGACTGGAGGTAGACTTACCACATGCCGTAGTTTCCAGCGCCAGCACTAGATCCAACGACGACTGTGAATTTGGGTACGTCTACGCAGCTCACGGCTGTTACGAGCTTTGCGCCGTTCTTTGCGATACCGCCCTTCTCGGCGTCCTGGCCGACCATGAATCCTGAGATGTTTTGGAGGAAGATGAGGGGAATGTGTCGCTTGCCGCATAGCTGGACAAAGTGCGCGCCCTTGAGCGAGCTCTCGCTGAAGAGAATGCCGTTGTTGGCTACGATGCCCACGGGGTGACCGTAGATCTTCGCGAAACCAGTCACTAGAGTAGAGCCGTACAATGGCTTGAATTCGTCGAAAGAAGATCCATCGACGATGCGTGCGATGATCTCGTGAATGGGGATTTGACGGCGCAGATTGGTACCGACGATGCCCGAAAGCTCCTGGGGGTCGTAGAGAGGCTCCTGGAAAGTAGGTTGCGAAGTAACAGTCTGGTTCCGGTGCCAGTTCAAGTTGCCAACGCTCCTCCGCGCAAGGACAAGTGCGTGTGCATCGTCAACTGCGAGGTAGTCTGTAACACCAGAGACTTCGCTGTGAAGCTTGCCTCCACCCAAGTCTTCCGCTGAGACCACCTCTCCAGTCGCTGCCTTGACGAGCGGTGGCCCGGCAAGGAAAATGTGACCCTGATTCTCGACGATGATGTTCTCGTCGCTCATACTAGGCACATAAGCACCACCCGCGGTACACGGTCCCATGACAACACTGATCTGCGGGATACCCATGGCCGACATGCGCGCTTGGTTGTAGAAGATGCGACCAAAGTGGTTGACATCTGGGAACACATCTGCTTGGTTGGGCAGATTCGCACCGCCAGAGTCGACGAGGTAGATGCAGGGTAACCGGTTTTCTTGAGCGATCGTCTGGGCTCGCAGATGCTTCTTCACGGTGACGGGGTAGTATGTGCCTCCCTTGACTGTAGCGTCATTGGCGACAACCATGCATTGCACACCGTTGACTGTGCCGATGCCAGTGACGATGCCACCTGCAGGCACATCATCCTCTCCGTACATGTTGTACCCTGCCATCTGGCTCAGTTCGAGGAACGGCGTGCCCGGGTCAATCAGTGCAGAGATCCTGTCTCTGACCAACATCTTGCCCCGCTGTATATGCTTGTCCCGAGCTTTCTGAGGTCCACCTTGCGCGATCTTTGTGTGTAGGTTGACCAGGTTCTCGGTTGCCTCGTCCATCTGGCGCTTGTTCTCTTTGAAGTCCGCATTGCTCGTGTCGACGTTCGTGGGGATCACAGACACGGCTTCGGCATGGTGAGAATGCGTAAAGGTCGCGGTGTTTCGAACTGTCTGGGGTGTGGCCCGCGATTGGGTGTGCGATGGTAACGTAGGACGCGAAGTGGATGAGAGGAGGCAGCGTTGTGTTTGCGATCGGGCAACTACTGAGGGTCGTACAGAATGCTTGAGTAAGGTCAAAGCCTCTCTTGAGGGTGCTCTTGGAACCATTCTAGCTAGAGAAATAAGCGCTTGAAAGGTCGTAGCAGTTCAGACAGCCCTCTGTGCGTATGTGGGGGGAAGTTGCTTTGCGCGTATTCACGACGCGATGTAGAAGGTGCTATGGATTGAGGGACGTGTTGGTAAGTTACAGCTCGATTATACTGCCCAAAAGAAAGTGTGCAGAAGAGAGGCAAGAAGTTCCCGGCCTTCCGCTTCGAAGGAAATTGACCTCGTTGTTTGCCGAAGCGCAGTTGAAGCTGGGGTTCGGATGACATCTCAAGACCGCTGTTAGCCGTACCGCGGCTCTGCGGGGAAACCGCGCTAGTCACTCATCAAGCAGGTACCAAAACACCTTGACCATGCATCGTGATGCGCAAAACAACATCGTACCGTGTCTCTGAAGCTAGGATCAAGTATCCATGCCTGCTATCTACAGCTTCTCACTCTCAACCGGCACCTCAACCACCTGATCCAAGCCCTCATACTTCGGAACATCAAGATTATACTTATCCGCCATCTCGGGGCTCAAGAACCTGCCACCGAGGAAATGTCTCCCAGTGAACTTCTTAACCAGCGGCTTCGGTGCAGTCAAGCTGATGAGAGCCGGTGGCATGAAGCCCTTGCCAGGTCCAGAATCCCGAGGCCCGTCCTCGATATCCCACGATGATGGTGCATCGACGGCGAGCACAGGGACAGAGGTCGATGCTAGAGCTTCGATGACTTTGGGGAAGGGCTCGCGCACTTCGCCGGAGAAACTGAAGCCGAAGATTGCGTCGACGATGTGGTCGGTTTGCTTGAGTGCGGACGTGAAGTCTTCTGTGAATGGCACTTTGAGGTCTTCGAGTTGTTTCTTGAGGCGCTATGAAGTGTAAGTTTGTGTGAATTGGTAGTTGAATCGTAGCATACTTGATACAAGTCGTTCTTGCTTTGCTTTGGGTAGTAGATTGTAGGTTGGTAGCCGTAGTGGAAGAGATGACGGGCTGCGACTAATCCATCACCGCCGTTGTTCCCAGGGCCACAGGCTACGAGGATGCGCTTGCCTTTGCTGAGGGGTTGAAGTTTGAAGACTGAATCGTCAGCTTGACGGAGTGGATTCTACACACTAACAACGTACCTGCTTGGGAAACAGAGAGGCCCGCGAGTTCCATCAGTTGATCGATGGAGAATGCGCCCGAGGACATGAGTTCTTGGTCAAGCGCAGCTGCGCTTTTGGCCGAGAGAGTCTGCAAAGTAAGATCAGCATTGATACCCAAGTGAAGATCTTGGGGAATCAACTCACGCGAAGAGCCATCGTAGAATGTTTGAATCGGAACAGTTTCGTATAGTGGAAAGGGGAGACGGTGGTTGTCGCAACATAGATACCTGGACACCTTCACGGTGTTGCCATTACATCACTGCTCCGGGATGAGGTGATCGCAAAGATCATGACATATCACCACAACGAAGCGCAACATCGATTTCAAAGTCAGCATCGGTATACAGAAGCATTTCCTAGTTTGCTTATGAGATGTCCAAAATATACTATACTTGAATGCGTGTATCGGAGTATACCACCTCGCACGTGCCCACGCATCTCGGCAGATCCTCGGAGCAAAAAGATATACCCAAACCACCAACCAACCGCCCGCGCCGCTCGCGCAGTCGTCGCAACAGCACCAAACCTCCCC